GAAAAACTTTACTTTGTCTCCCCGGGGACGAAAGTTCGTTTTTCCACCAATAACAAGACAATATATAATAACACAATACACAATAATTTCCTTAAGCTTGTTGGGTGTGTTATTTTATATGTCTCATATTCATGCATAGTTAACTTTCAATTTCATACCAAGACTGTCCAAGTTTAATAACTTTCAGAACATACGACCAAATCATCCATGTTATACACCATTAGAAAGATAATTTTGATATCTACGAAACGATATCAAGAACATGCAATTCCGATAACGGTATAGAAAGTTATGTTCAAACCAACATCATTATATCAATATGATTTTTGTTTTAAAACCGGAAAACCAAATCCGAACCCACGGCGAACCGTGTCTCCTTAAGGAAATTATTCCCCGCGCGGTACCTACGGTTAATGGAATATATCCTCCCAGGATAGGGCGGACGTACCTCACCGGAACAGTGGTACTTCAAACTCCGGTGCCTTGTCGAACTCAAAGCTCGGTTTGAATCACAAAGGAAAAAAGATGATTTTCTTTCTTTTGTAGAAAGCTTTTGTGTTTTTCTTGATTGGTGTTCTTGTTGTGTCTAAAACATGAAAACAATCCTCCTATTTATAGGATTGAAAAACTTGTAACATTTTAAAAAAGCCATAAATATATGTAAGTTTTGTAAACAAATTGGAGAGTAACTTATAAAAATATCTCCATTCATTTAATTTAAAAAGAAAAACTCCAACAATATATATATATATATTGATGGTTTTGTGGAGGCAAATTCTATAAACCGACTAATAATAATCCACATAGCAATATTATGTTGTTGTAGTTGTTGACATAAATTATATAAACTTCTCGTTTCATTTAATGTTGTATAATCCTAATTTAACCGAACTTACATTGAGTCTATAATCTCCAAATCACCAGTTTCTCCACGGAAAATATAACCAAAAATATCCTTCAAGAACCCCATCACAAAACAAATTAAAACATCAGTTTCAATATCATCTCATCTTAATCCCAAATTTATTTGAGATGGCTCGAATGAATTTTTCATTTCCACTCATTTCGATTTTAAGTTAAATCTTTTGAAATGTACGACATGTTTGAATCGTTTGCTAATGACTCGTTTCCAAATAAATGTAGGTATACATCTCCCTTTCCTCTCCTTTATCATTTCTATATTCTTTATTTTTTTAACTAGAGCGTTTTTCACTAGACGTTTTATATGTCAATACCATCTTAATCGCCTCTCGCGTTGTACGTCTTCTATAGTTATTATTTTCTCTCTAATACTTTCATTTCATATCCTATCTATCATTGTGTATATACACATACATCGCAACATTTTCATCTCGATCACGATCATTTTGGACACATACTGTTCTTTCGACGTCCAACATTCACCATCATAAATCATATGTGTATTATGGCGGTACGGTAAAACCTTTCTTTTTCAACTGTATGAAGATCTTACAATCGTAAAAAAAATCCTATAATTTATCTCCATTGTATCCATCCCGTTTTTATCCTATAACTGATATCTTCATCATACAAAACACCGAGTGTGGTATAGAAGGACCAATGGCGGGGCTTCTGGTGATATCCACCATGGGTGGAACAGAAGCTGCTCCATGGTGGAAAAAAGCCATAGGTTATGCGTCAAACTAAATTGTCGTTTTCAGCCGTTTTCGACCTAAGAGAAGGAGATTGGTCGATCCAGATTGCACCGACGCTAAACTCATCGAGTAGGAGAATCGAACGTCAAACAAAATGCTCTAACGCAAAAATTTGTTCAAATTCAAAAGATGTTAAAAATAAAATAAATCCACGAGCCATATTATGAATATACTGGCCTCTTCCGACAACTAAACTCGTGTCCTTTGATTGATATTGGTCCGAACTGAACTGATAACTATGATGTACCTGCAATACACATCACGTGGATAGGTGATAACCCTTAAAAAAATAAACTTCATATTTAGCTTTCGATAACCATAATGCATAACCTTGAAAAAAAACGAGTCTTTGTGCAACAAGACGATTGAACTTACAGAAATTGAGAACAATACAACATCCAAAGCGTTAAGGGATTCAGTCCTTTCCGTACACCGATAGGGTTTGGGAGCCATTAGAGCAAAACATATTCTGCTATTGCTCCACTTGTTCAAACTATATATTACACTATTGCCACTGGATAACCCTGTTTCATTTCTAATCGGCGGTCCAGCTCTGCTCCACGACCTCCCGGACACGCCTGTTGTATTCCCGTTTGTTCTCGCTGAACAAGCGTGCTGCCTCGGAGTTTGCTGGCGAGTTAGGGTTCGGATCACAGAGCAGGGACTGATATCACAGAAACGTGCACGAGTTGAGTTCTCTTGTTCTTGGATGAGGAAAATGGACGGAAGACGAAATGATTCATTCGTATTTTTTTACCTGAATAGATGTAAGAATAGCTGCGACGTCGTATATGGGACTCCACTGGTTCTGAAGGATGTCGAGACATATACTTCCATCTGCATAGACTGAAGTGGACCCACATGGCAGAAGACAAATGAGGGTGGGATGAACGCAAATGAAAGAAACAGACAGGAACAAGGATCAAGGCAGTCAAGAGTAGAGGGGAAATGATGTTAAGTTTCTAACTTACTATTAGGGTGGAACATCCGAGAAACGAAGCGGACAGTTGGTGGCTTATTTGGATAATCCTCAGAAAATTGAAGGGTCAGCTTAAAAGTGCCTGAAATTTCGATGGTATCAACAAAATCAATGAATTCAGCATATGAAATACCTAGGGAGATGCAATTACATAACCGAATCAACACAGGACAAATGGAAGAAACAGTAGTTCAGCAAACAGAACGCAGAGACAGGAGCACCAAACGACTGGACATTTTGTTGAAGTCTCTCTAAGCAAAGGTATGAACTTTTACATCACTGAACGTGATGGAAAGAGATGAAAACGGCGACTGAATCTTGTTTCCACCACTAAAGACAAGACATACAGCAAGTAAGAATGAGGTTAGAGAGATGATGAATTACCTCCATCCCATGGCGTGTCATCAGGGCTGCAGTTCAGGCAAAAGAACAAGAAGATGCAATTAGAAAAAGACAGAGGTAGGGATTCCGATTTTTGAATTCTATGTTTCGGGCATATACCCGAAAATCACGGCATTCCAGAGCATAATGTTGTTGTCCTGAGGAGCACCACTAATCCCTGCAGGAGGGTCCTGCTGCAACCTCTTGAAGTCCCTCATCAGCCTCTTCCTCGCCGGAGTCGACATCCTCACTCAGTTTCTTGAAACAGAGAAACAATGGCGGAATTCAGGACAACACTTGAGACTCAGCAACCAGCGTGTAAGGGACAAAAAAAAGGTTTAAAACCCAACATCTCAGACGCCACCATTATCTCGTAAACGTACATATTACAGAGGAGAGCACGAAACAGCGACCAAGCAACCCTAGATTCAGGTTTTGAAAGGAACCCAGGACCGGAATTACGAACCCTAGCTAAGAACGCAACCCAATTTCACCCAGAGAAGCACGAAAATTCCGAATTCGAAAGAAAACCCTAGATCCTAAACAACACGATCAAGCGAGAGAAACGGGGAAACAAACACAAAGCTGCAAACTTGCAAAGCATCGAGGCAGAATAAAGGTGGAAGAACCTCGGAAACCAGAGAGGAAGCAAGAGGATTAAAGTACCTTTGGGGAAACCAGCGGAAGAAGAAATCAGGACATGGGACGAGGATAAATGTGACGGAAATTAGGGCAGAAGAGTATTTGTCTGAACAGAAAGGAGAATTATAAGAGTGCGGTTCGGCCGGTCAGCGCGGTTTCCGCTTCTCTGAAAGGTGGCAAAACCTCTGCGTTAATGAAACGCTGTTTTATTTTAATATCTTCCTTCCAGAAACTTCTTTTCTTTTCTTAAAAAGTGAAAACAATGCTTAATTAGTTAGTTAATCATCATATTAATCTCAAACACTCATTTGAAAATATAAGGAAATCGCAAACGCTGCGATTGCGTTTTGATGCACAAACATTCCCCAAACAGATTCTCCATCTTACTGCCACTGATTAGTGATTGCCCTTTTACACAGCTACTAAGATTCGTCAAAATTATGTCTTCTCAAGAATTGTTTTCGGACCAATTCAAGCTCTATGGTTCACATTCAACAAAGGAAGTTGTGTGTTATGAACTCTTTTGTCAGTACAGAACCAAGTTAAAAAGCAAAAGACTTTATAAGACTGAAGACCAAGGAAAGCTGCAAGAGTTGTGGTCTGTGTCTCACCGGTTGAGCATTTCTTCGACTGAGAATCCCAAGCAGTTCCCAAAGTAGTTTGGAGGTTCAAAGATGAAGCAAGAGATCACATCTCTTAGGGTTATTACCCCATAAAGCTCGTTCTCATCCCCTGCTCCAACATATACTCGATGGACCGACTTTGATGCCAGACTGTTTATCACGCTTCCTAACGTCGAATCGGGTTTGCACGTTACTGCCGGAATAGCCTTTCCGTATTCCTCCCCCGCCGTAGCAATCTTCGTGGCAAATCCCCTCACGGTGAGATGCCTTTAAAACAAAAAAAAGGATGCATTTAAAGAGTGTGACCTGAAGTTGGAGAAGACTTCAGGTTGGAGAAGCAAGTATCTGATGTCTCTCATGCTAATGTTTCCAACAATCGTTTTGTTCGCCCCCTCCACGACAGGGAGACCACCTATGTTGTTGTCTCTCATCCGCTTAAATGCTTCTAGAACAAGTTCATCGCTCTCAATGCTAACAACCTAAAACCCGAGACAAGATATATCTATCACCGGTTTCAAGAATCTAATGCCATGAGAATATATATAACTTTAGAGCGTTCTTTCTAACCTCGTCCGGTGACATGAAAGGGAGGCCGAGATCAGATATCGGGAGAGCGGAGATGTGATCAAACCAATCCCGGCCTTTGCAACCTTCAAGTCCTTGGACAACTGCGGATTGAGTGATGTAGTTTTTTATATCAGGAGCTCCTGGTTCAACCACAGGCACGTTTCTTTGCCTGTATTTGGACAGTAGTAATAGAACGCTCAGCATGGAGCTCTCTGTGGAAACCGGAAGAAAGGGAGCCCATCTGAAGGATTTCAGTATCATTCTTACCTGGACGAGAAAAACCCCCCGAAGAAATTTCATAATCATATCCAACTCCGGGTTAAGCCAGACATACATATCACGTGGATACATATCAAACTGTATACCCACAAATACGATATTCTTACCCAATTAAGACAGACCTAAGAACGAACCAAACATATATATCATAATCATATCCAACTCCTAGTTAAGCCAGACATATATATATATATATATATATATATATCACATCGATACAAACGAGCCTGTGTATACCCACAACTACGATATTTTTATCTGTTTAAGACAGGCCTAAGAACGAAAGCAAAACAAGGTTGGAAGCTTACAGTGGTTGATTTGAAGGGCTCTTCCTGGAGAATAACCTGGTAAAAATCCTTCCCCAAATTATCAGCAGTTGTCGGGGCATCTTTTCCGACCCCACGATGGGCGGCGCCAGCCAGCCCGGCCACAGCTGCTGGACCCGATACGCCTAAAGCCACTGCGCCGAGAGCCCCGACTGCTCCTGCGCCAACACCAGCGGCTGTTGCTGACGAGGCAGACAATACAATGGCTGCAAGTTCGGCACTTTCAAGCACCCAGAGAATAATTGCAGAGTAGTCGATTATTCCTAGGTACCTGTCTCTCCAGTCCGATGAGTTGTCAGAATCAGGATTTTTGACAGGGGCGGACAGAATCTTGCTGTCTGATAGGATCTTCACCGCATCAGATACAGAAGTATCTGCCGGAATCTCTATCACTGTCAAAAACCATAAACCACACAGTATCACAACCAAAGACTGATACTCAAAATTCAAACTCTCTTCTTCGTGAAAGGTTGATTCAAAATTCAAACTTTGCCAGCGCATGTATCCAAAATTTTTACGAATTCCCATAAATGAACATGTCTGCTTCAGCGAATCAACGATCCTGTAAGTGCAATGCCATATTGGGATCCAGGGCATCGACGCATAAGAAATACACAAATCCGTAAAACTGTAAGAACAAAGATCATGAATCAGAAAGGGAAATAATAAAGACCTCTGCCACCGGGAACTTGAGGGAAGGAGGAGACGGGGATTCCAGAGAAGGCAGAGGTTAGGGTTTGTTGGAGAGACATGGAGAGTTTCTTCCTCGACTGTATTTTCTCGAAATACGCTTCACAGCTCGAAACCGCCGCCGTTTTCTCCGCCCTCTCACCTTCCGATTCCGACATGGCTGCGACGAACAAAGACAGAGCAAAGGGGAGAACACGATCTACTCGAATCGAAGAGGCAGAAGATCTAAAGAGTGACAAATGGAGAGCTATGGAGGAGGCTGGAGCTTCCGATGTGGTGGTGGTCGGTTTCCGCCTAGTTTCCGGATCGCATAGGAATCTGGCTCGACACGTGGCAATGTAAATGGGCGACATGTCAGAACAGAGAACAACAGCGTGGCTATGCATAGCTTGTTAGCCGGATGGGCCAGATCATCTCATAACTCATTCTGGGCCTTGTTGGGCCTCATGCAGCATTATGGCCTGCAAATATTTTGACCGTACGATATGACCGTCGGTTTATCCCTGAACAAACGTCCGCTTTGTAGCCACAGATTCGAAGGTATAAAGCTCGAATCTTTTCGTCTTGCATGGTAGTGGGTGTTCTCGATTTTGCCTTCTAGGGTTCTTATTTTGTGTTAAATGTCCTCAATTTATGCTGGATTTCAGGTGTTTCTTCCTCAATGGAACCAGAAGAACATCGGGTTTCCGCTTTTTCTCCATGCCAAGAGAAATGTAGCCTTCTTTTCTCGTGCGGTTTCCTCTTCGGACAACGATGGTTCAGTTTCATCGTCCAGGCAGAACCATGTACCTCTACCCCTTCTTACGACTCGATTAAGTATATATGCTTGCTTTTCTTCTTGTCTGGTTAAACTCAACGTATGGGTTCCTTTGTAAACCACAGATGGGTTATGATCCTTCCGAGGAACTCTTTGGTGTGGACTTCAAGCCGAGGTAAGAGATTCGGAAGCTTTCCGCTTATGAAATTTGTGCTGTAGTGTTGCTATTATGGCGAATTACGCAACTCTTTAGGCAAGGGATCTAACCCTTTGTATCCAACGATGAATGCGCTCAAAACATAACTCTGTAGCTCCTACACTGAAGCTGGATACTTGCTCCTGTGTGAATTCTTGGTGGTGTTGAGGAATGGAAAGCATTGTTTGCTTTAGGATACAAACCTGCAAAATCTTGTCTTTTTGCTCTTCCTTAGTCCGGGACAACCTCGTTAGTGCTTGCATAATCATTTCTGCAAAAGCATAAGTCTTTATGTGGGATCGAGCATCATATTTGGGATATTGCTAATTTACATTTGTCAAGTTAGCAGATACATCTAGCCACAAAATTCATCTGGGCTTTAAAAAAAAACCTTTCTTGATGTCTTCAGGAATGCATCTTCTGAACCACGTTCATGGTTTGGTCCTAATGGCCAGTACATTCGAGAACTTCCCTGCCCTAGTTGTAGGGGTAGAGGTTATACTCCATGCTCAGACTGTGGGATAGAAAGATCAAGGCCGGACTGCCCCCAGTGCAAAGGAAAGGTGCTTAATTTCTTATAGATTCGTAATTTCAGACTTTTGAGAAACAAAATTTCTTCCCCTTTAACCGACTTGATCAAAATTTTGCATAGGGTATAATGACCTGCCTCAGGTGCTCAGGTGACTGCGTCATATGGGAAGAATCAATTGATGAACGACCTTGGGAGAAGGCTCAATCCATGTAATGCATTTGAGGGTCTAGTTGCATTCTTTCTGATTCTCTTGCTTATCTCAGTTGATTCTTCTTAACCCGAGTGTTCTTCCTCAGTTCCCCGTTTAGAGTGAAGGAGGATGATGAAGTCGATAATCTAGAGATAAAGCTGAGTGAGAGGAGGAAATCCAAGCGGGTATATCAGTCACCGCCTCCCGAGGTTGGACAGAAAATCAGCCGGACTCTGAGAGTTAGTTTCATGCTTTCCTCTTTAAGTATGATCTTATCCAAAAAGAAAGAATATGAATGTAATCTTCTATGCGTAGTTGGACGATGCAGAGTCTAAATGCCAAGACTGGTCTCTTCAGTAAGAGAATGAAGATTATACATCGTGATCCAGTGCTTCAAGCTCAAAGGGTAGCCGCCATTAAGGTCTGCATATACATTATGTAACTCTATCCAGGAATCGAAAAGAAGCACCTTCTTTCTTAAAACTGAGTTAATTCTCTATGCACTAGAAAGCAAAAAGAACAGCTGCTGCAAGAAGACATGCTGCCGAATCTATGAAAGCTTTCTTCAGCAATCCCGAAAATCGCCAGAGGAGGAGCTTATCTATGAAAGGTAATTCCTTTTTTCCAATTTTTAATCTGAATTTGCAAATCTGCATAGGATTGTAGAATTTTGCTACCCTTTTCTTTTGGCTGATGTTGTCCTAAAAACCAGTTCGGTAATGATTCAGGTGCTAAATTTTTCTGCAAGAACTGTGGACGTGAAGGCCATAGACGCCATTACTGTCCTGAGCTGGACAGATACGCAGACAGAAGGTTCAGATGTCGGGTTTGTGGTGAGAAGGGCCATAATCGACGAACCTGTCCTAACTCGAAATCTCTTGTTGCTAAAGGCGTATCCACAAGATATCACCGGTGTGGAATATGCCGTGAGAGGGGTCACAATCGTAGAACCTGCCGGAAACTGGCCGGAGCTAAACCGGAAAAAGGAAATGCCGGCCAAGATGATGTCGGAAACCGGAATTACGCATGCGGGTTCTGCAAGAAAATGGGACATAACGTTAGAACATGTCCAAGCAAACGAGGGTGATTATTGTATAGAACAAGACAGCTCATAAATTTACTTTTCTTTTTGTTAAGAGTTATTAAAATTCTTCCTCATAATTTGTATCGAAATTATACATGATGTAAAACAAAAAAAAATGGATTGGTCTGAACATTTTTTTTATAAACGTTACTGAGGAGGATTATGGACCGTTGATTCGGGAGTTCAATGACACGTGGTGGCGCTGAAGGCTCCAGATTATTAGGCGAGCAAGAGGCTGCCACGATAATACGGCATGTTCCCGTCCGAGAGTCGTCGAGTCGGGAGTCAAGGCAGGTGAACTTTTGTCCGAAACGACATCGTATTAATAACATCACTAGCACGTCTCCGCTAGTGACAAAACAAAAAAAAAAAAAAAAGAAAAAAAAAAAAGAAATACGCATCAAATAGGTAAGACCATCAGTTCTCCGCTGTCCGTAAATTCGACTCCACCGGTACGGAAGCTCAGCCCGTCGACGGAGCTATGGCGATGCAGTCAGGAGTTGGTTTATCCAAGATCTTGATCTTGGCCGGAGCAGGTATTCGCGCCTGATTTCTTCTCCCTTTGATCGGTCTCGATTGTTAGCTCAGTGTCGTGATTTCTCTGAGATTTCGTTTGTCTTGATAAGACGTTTTCGGTTTGTTGAATCAAAAGGTTATACCGGTACGATTATGCTGAAGAACGGGAAACTGTCGGATTTGATTGGCGAATTGCAGGTACTGTTGCTAGTTTCTGCGGTCAGTTCTCGTTTTTTTTAGCGATTTTCTAGGTTTTGGATTTTTGGTTTATGATGGCTTTTCGGGCATATTTTATATTTGCATAGGCTTTGGTGAAGGGGCTAGAGAGATCCGCAGAAGGATCTGAGGGAGATTCTGATGTTTCCGACGCCATAGCTGCACAGGTACTTGCTAATGTATCCTTGTTGCTCCTGATTTCCATATGTCAACGTGCGTATTTCATAAATTTGGTGAATGCTTATTTCTGCTCAATTGTGTTGATTTGAAGGTTCGTCGGTTGGCTATGGAGGTCCGGCAGCTCGCCTCGTCCAGACAGATAACTGTCATGAATGGAACATCTGGTGGTAAGTAAGAAGCTTGGAAATTTTATGTCTTTTCAATGCAGTGTTCTAGTTTTGACATAAGGGGAGAATCTTTCATCATCCGGTCTCTTGTTGATTTTCCCAGGCAATTTACAATCACTTGCTGTTCCTGCGGCTGCGTTGGGGGCTTTAGGTTATGGCTATATGTGGTGGAAGGTGTACTTTCAGTCAACTTTCTTTTTTGTTTAATCTTTCATTGCTGCTCTCGAAGGAGTTCCAAGGCACCAATCTTTTATCTTTTGACACTCGTTAGGGTCTTTCCTTCTCTGATCTTATGTATGTGACAAAACGCAACATGGCAAGTGCTGTGGGGAACTTGACAAAGCATCTTGAACAAGTATCGGAGACTCTTGCGGTGAGTTTTCTTGCCTTGCATTTGCTGCATTAGCCTATTCACTGCGGGATCATTGGCTCTTTAATTGTATGTTTGCAACATGATTTGTGTATATGTATGTATATGCTAACAATAATACTTCCATATGTGTACATGCTAATATCCTGTGGGTTTTGCTTGGTTGTTAGGCTGCAAAAAGGCATTTGACGCAACGGATTCAGAATTTGGACGATAAGATGGACAAGCAGAATGAGCTCTCTAAGGCAATTCAAGGAGACGTAAGATGATAATTATCTCGCCTTTCCGTCTCCGTTAGGTTTTTTATCATTAGATGTCTGAAGTCTATAGAACACTTCTGGGCTGATGAAACGAGGATATCGTAAACATTGAAACAGGTAGCTTTGGCTCGTGAGGATCTCTGCTCTATTGAAGGGGAGTTGGAATCATTGCATAACTTGATTAGTGGCCTGGTGAGACTTAGTTCCATCTTGTCTAGAGACATCTATGAACAATGTTTCGGGCATGCATGTTGGCTTCATCAAATGTTGATTATGCTGGTAAATTATTTAGTCTTTGAGATCAATCAAGAATCAACAACGAAAGGAAAACGCTTCAATTTCCAGCCAACAGCATTGTCGGATTCATCTAACGAGTTTTAGTTTACCTCTTCTAACCGAGTTGCATTGCAATTCAACTTTTGCAGGATGGCAAGTTAGACACGCTCGAATACAAGCAGGTACCTTTATCTGCATCCTGTCATCTGAATCCTAACCAAAGTTGGATTCTTAACAGCATGAATTTGCCATTGTATATGAATGCTAATATGTTAAAAAAAAACCACCATCATGATTTTCCGTATAACGGTTTTACTCACTCAAGCAGCCATTACTAATTCGGCGCTTCTGTTTTGCTTTTGGTGACAGGATTTCACAAATATGTGCGTGGTACGCCTGTATAACTATTTCGGGGGCAAGAGCGAAAAACTGCCTGAAGTTACCATGCAGGTAGAGGGTATCTTCTGTTGAATTTCAAATCTGTATTAATTTCATTTTGGTACCTGTGTCATTATACAAAATGATTTTAACTTTATTACAGGAAAAGCTTCAGCTTCCAGTAAACAAGGCTCGCAACTTGCTCACTGATGTGGAATCAAAGGTACCATTTATGTGTACCTTACTCGCTCGCCTAGGAATCATCTTCGTTTGATAACTGCTTATGACAGCATATTTATTGAAACCTGTTGGGGCAGGGCCTGAAGGATTTCGCCGATGAACTTTTCGAAAGTCGAAATCAAACAGGAATAAAAGCCGTGAAACAACGTGGGATCAATGAGAAACCAAGACCATTATCGAGGTACACACACACACACATGATTACCTGCAAATCAAACCCTTTTTTAAAAAACATATATGTATTTATTGGGGTTTCATATTCTGGTTTCAGGGCTGCGTCAGGTGTGTATTGAGATGGAAGGTGGGTCTTAGAGGGCGTTTGGGCTGGAGGATGTATAGTTTTATTACAAACTAAATAAAGACACAAGACAACGAAGCCATTTCATTTTTTTTTTTGGTTTTGTGTTTTCCGATGTTTGCTTTCATGTTCTCTCCTTGTGATATTATTTTTGTAACGAGACACGGCGGCTCTGCTGTGGGATTTTCACCTAAATTTCCGATGCTTTTACTGACACCGAACGGTAAATAAAAGAAAGTTGGATTGTGCATTATGAGGTTTCTCTCTCTCTCTCTCTCTCTTTTAACCAATCGGGGGAAAACGGGTGAAATACTAAAGCCGGCCAAGAGGCCGACAAATCAGATGGGGTTCTCAAAGAGGACAACCAAATCCCACTTTCAGTACCAAACCCAAACGGACACATGAACTATATATATGTATGTGTGTATGTATGTATGTCCCGAGGAAGATCTTATCACGTGGATGTAACAACAACTGTGTTCATGAATATTCCGTAAGAAGCTGACTGGGATCCGTGATCTCCATATCACAGCGCTAACACGTCAATCGGGATAGTTAAGTGGACCATGGGGCCGGGGGATGAATGCCAGAGTTAGATTACGATCTCCTTCACAAGTGTCGAAACCATGATCATATCCATCCATGACTGAGGAATGTCCCTCCCGAACCTTTTCGGACAAGGAGATACAATCTTGTTCTTCTGCTCAGAGGTTGAATCCAAGCCCTAGCCTGGGAACGCTTGCCCGTGTAACTGCCCCTGTACTTCTTTGCAATGGCAGGTAACAACACTAAAAAAAATACATATATTTTTAAATTTTATATAAAAAAAAAATCACATGTATTTTATAATTTTGTTTGTAAATTTACACCTAAACTCTAGCGCTAACGCAAAACAAACACGTTAGTGCCACGTGTTTAAAAACTACCGCGTCATCATCTGGATATTATTAAAATAAACCACATCGCCTGGATATGATTTAGAAACGGTAATTTTAATATTTTTATATAGAAAAAGCGGATAAATAAATATATTATTTTTGAAAATTTGGAAGTTTTGGATTTTTTGTGAAGTATTTGAGCATGTTCAATGGTTTTTCGAAAATTTTGCCAAAAAGATAATGGTTCTTTACTATTATGATTTTTTTACATATTTGCATGCATAATATTATCCAAATACCGTATCGTGGCGTCATTATCCAAAACAAACAGAGTGTATTTAAGCCCAATACGAATACGCAACTTCCGATTCATTATTTAATAATCGGATCTCTTCATTTCATCGGCATTAAAATTTTCGACGATGGTTTCTCTCCGCTCCTTCGCCGTCAAATCCTCTCTCCGCCTTCCTTCTCCGCCGTCGCTCCTCCCTCTCCGGTCACGATCTCCGCGTTCCATCTCCTTCTCCTCCGGATCTCCCGTTCGCCTTCCCGCTGGGATGCGCAATCTCTCCGTCGCCGCCGCCTCCGGCCATGTCTCGAGCTCTGGCAATGGATTTCACGGATCGTCCTTCCAGGTTTCTCCTGTTTACTCTTTGTAATCAGATGAGATGAGTGCATGTCGATGCGGTTCGCAGCATTTCGATTTCCGCAATCAATGCCTTTATTTCTCGTAGCCGTCGATGGTTTAATCAAATTTTCGCCTCCTGATTAGGTGTTTTCTCAATCGCGTCGTGTGTTTGAATCCAGGTCGCTGAATCCTTCTTCAGGGGTGTCTTAGAGGAGATGGAAAAGGTTTATCTGAATAGGAATCCAACACCAAAGGCGGTCTTGGAACTTGTCCGATCAGTTGAAGACGAGCGAATTTGCTACGATCATCTTGCCTTCAGGACATTCGGGGTATGGATTTCCACGAAAATCCTACTTTCTTCTCCTTTTTCTGTTCAAATTGCGGATATTATAAAGGCTGGACATTCGATGAATTCTTAATCATTTGTTTTCCTTTGGCAAATTTGCTAGATCAATGGTTATGGGATTGACTCGCTTGCAAGCTTATTCCTTGATTTTGGGTATTCCCCAAGGGACGAGTTGCGGTTTCCTGCGAAAAAATTGAGAGCATTGTGGTTTTCACCACCTGATGTTTCTGGTCCTCCTGGTGGTTCCGGCGTTAAAGGGCCTTTGCCTCGGATCTTTATCTCGGAGCTCCTTGTCGGGCAGATGAGTCCACAAACGCAGGTACCCTCTGCCATTCCTCTCACTTTGATCTTTTAAAGGCCGTACAAACATTGGAAGACAATTCTCTGCATTCAGGAAATTATCAAAAAATACACAGAAGCATCGCCTGGTGGGAATAAATACGCTGCTCTTTCCAGTGCCATGGGTACTTTAACATGGGATAAACCTTCGTCTTCTGAGTTCGAGCAGTTGTCCAGGTAGGGCTTTATCCACTTCTTATTTTGTGTGAAGCCAAGATCGTTTAACTCCCTAGGCTAGGATTTTTATTCAATGCATTAATGTACAGGGAGAGTGAATACGCTGCATGGACTCTTGTCAATGGGTACGCCCTCAACCATGTCACGATTTCCGTCCATCGGCTGAAATCTAATCTCAACAAGATAAAGAAACTCAATCAGTTCCTCGAGGAAAAGGGATTTAAGCTGAATTCTGAAGGAGGAGTCCTGAAAGGTATATAGTATATCATCAAACTTAGCAACTACTCTGGAAAACGAAACTGGTAATGCGGCCTTGAGATATTACTAATCTTTGTCCTCTCCTCTCAGTTAGCCCCGACGGCGGACTTCAGCAAAGCTCAACTGTAGCGGATTCGATTTCCTACGAATTCTCCGACGGGATCACTAAATCTGTCCCTTGTTCTTACATCGAGTTTGCTGAACGCCTCGTACTTCCCCAGTACCAAAATGTACCAGAAAGCGAGGTAAGTAACAAAGCTCTTGTAATTCTTGATTTATTTCTACACTATGGGGTTGCAAGCCCATATATATCATGAACTTATTATAAGAAAAAAAAAATCATAGGAAAAAAAGTGAACTTTGAAACTCCAAAACATGAGGTTGTAAACAAATATTTTTCAAAGGTATTACGACCTTCCTGTCAACAGTACATATGAAAAACAACTTCATGTTTTATTTGGGTATATGATAAAAATTCTCAAGTACATGTTTTATTCGGGAATTGGATACAATTCCATGTTCTGGTTTGAAAGTTTGAACGTTTATGTTATATTTTTAGGGGATTTTCTTTTTTTTTTTTTTATAAATTCGTGATTTCATATGGGAATTTACTTAGTTTTATGCCATAGAGAAAATTCTAATAATTGGAATCAACATATATTCGAAACCTGCAAAAACGCAGGTACAAGAGTTTCATAGGCGCGAGGGATTTGAAGTTGGGAATGCAGACAAGATCTTCGAGAGGACATTCCAGGAACAGCTTTCCCGTAGAAGCGGCTGACCATCGAAGTATATATACATACGGTAATGAAGTCCGTATATATACATTTAACCAATAAGTTCCGAAGCATGTATGCTTTTTACGTTTATGTAATCAAAGAAAGTTATCTATATCAACATAAAAGTAAAATGGATTATCGTATGAGCAAAGACAAAAGAAAGAGAGAACCAGAGAATGAAATGAAAACTGCTGTACATTGCTTGTCCGAAAGGATCCATCAAAACTATATATATATATTATGTATACAACGTTTCGATCAAAATCTATATTCGGATTGATCTGTACTTGTAACGCATAGCCCAGAAGAGGTAATGCAAGAAATTCACAGCGCTCAGAACGCACATCAGCCAGTAGAACCTATCGAGTTTGTAAAGGTTTAAGCTTTCGCCTTCGAGCCAAGGCCTCTGACCCAATCCACTACCGGTCGAACCATTCACGATCGATACGATCACTGAGCTTAGATAGTAACCCATTGCCAACGAGGCCCACGAGAGAGACGTGGCCAATGATCTCATCGAGGAAGGTGCTTCCGTGAAGAAAAACTCCAACAAACCGGCTAAGGTGAACAGATCGGCCGAACCCAGAAACAGGTACTGAAACGCGATCCATAGGAATGTGATGGGCAAGGTTTCTTGCGAGTCAAGCAACCCAGTTTCTGTGGCCACCCTCTTTCGTTTAATCTCGACCACAGCCGCCACAGCCATGGCCAAGATCGAAAGGACTAGACCGATACCGATTCTTTGCAAATGTGTGATACCCATTTCGGATTTGGTTACTTTCCGGGCAAAGGGAATGATTATATGGTCATAGACCGGTGCAAGAATCATTATGAACACGACGGGGAAGACGGGAAGTGACGCAGGAGGAACCTTGAGTTTCCCGAGCTTCGTGTTCATCGTCGCAGCCTGTTGAACAGAGAAAGTGGATAGCTGAGCTAAGCAACAGTTGAGCATTATGGTGCATGCAAATATCGGAAGCACTTTGAGCACAATCTTCACGTCCTCTACTTGCTCGACCGTACATTCAAGAGATCTGTGGATCGGTTTCTCTTCTGCAGCTCTGTTCAGACATCCCAAGCTGTTTGTCAGAACCGGAGAAGATGCTTCTTGATCATGTATTCTTGTCTTCTCGACTTCTCCATCTGATTGTTCTCCACCTTTAGAAACGCAGTGGTTGGAAGGGCTCACGGCTAAGTTCACAATGGCATTGCTCGACCCTTTGCTCGTGCCGCATGTGTTCACAGCCGCTGCACATAGAACCTGCAGCTCGAATCACGAAAACCGTTTCTTTCTCAGATTTCGAGTATACGAATCAAGAAACACTCATTGATATCTCGTTTCGATGTTATATATACCTTCAAGATTGTGGTAAGAGGGCTTCCAGAAGGGATCTTATTCCTGTAAAACCTCGAGCCAGCGAGAAAGGCGAGAATCGAGACGAAGATCGAGATGGTGGAAACTCCAAAGCCCCATTCCCAGCCTTTGTTGTCTTCGAGCCAAACCACGAACGTGACGGCGACGAGAGCGCCAGAGGCGAGACAGAACACGAAGTAGTTGAAGAACGTCGACCTTTGTCTTCGACCCTTTGGTGTGGTCTCGTCGAACTGCTCGGCTCCGTGAGAAGGCAAGGACCCTTTGATCCCTCCGACACCAAGAGCCACTAGGTACAGACCCACGAACAGCATCGCCGCCTTCGACCCGCCCACTGGCTCGCACTGTCCGGCGGAGCCCTTGCACGCCGGCGGCATTAGCGACGGAGTTCGAGCTTGCACTGTGAGCAGGATCAGACCCTGCATGCGCAATGCCAGAAGAAACCCTAACCCATCAAACCAGCAGTTGCGAAAATGGTAAAACCCAATACAAATTAGAACAGCAGAGCCGAAAAAGACGTGTAAATCTAGAATTTACTCGTGATTATTGTTAGGTCTCGTAATCAATAAAAGCTTGTACAATATAATGGAAAGTTGATGATAAATGTTGAGAGAGAACAATCGTATACTATATAGTCCACTATGCACATCAACTAAAAAAACAAAAGATAAATACATTCACTTATTAGATCAGATATGAAGCATCAGAGCAGTGGCCCAAAAATATCCTCTGTTTATAAAAATAAATGGACACGTGGAGAGTCATGGGAAGGAGGGAAAAGAGAAGAAAGATGGGCCCAGGGTCACGTGACGAGCACGAGAGGGACAAGGCCCAAACCCAAACAACAGAAACTGGAAACCGTTAAAAACAACGTCGTCATTACATGTAATGATGTCGAAACAACGAAACCTTTGTTTTTTGTTTGGTTGAAACGAACAAAACCTTATATTTTGTATTGTTACAATGACATATATAACTCCTTATATATATATATATGTGTGTGTGTATATATATAATATTTTGGTAAATGGCGTCTTAATGCATTTAGAATGGAACACACAGCATTTGCAACTTCTTTCTGCCAAATATGATAATAACATGTGACATGTGAAAGAAGTCGAAAGACTATATATGTGCTCAATTCTCAACACATGGAATGTAGCCAAATATATGCTTATAACATGTTATACATTAACTAATGTATAACATTTAGCTACACGTTTTGTCTTTTTCTTTTGGCCCTTTTTACATATGTGGCAGAGTTAGGAGCTTACACGTGTCTAGTTCTATCGGCGACATCGCAATTTCATACCCTATGAAAAAATAAGGACAAGATTCTGTGAAGCTAAAATCAAGATAGATGTGTTGGGACTTCTGTGCACGGATTTAAATTTCCATTTTTGTCCCTGACAGTGAACCATCAACCGGGGCCCACATACGGTTCTACTACGTATGCCAAACATGACTCGTGAATACGGTACCGTATTAATCACGCCCTCTTTTGTTGGTCCTTTTTTTTTTAGATATGGATAGCATCCCAATGCACGCATGGTTCATTTAATTTGCAGACCATATATTTGAAGAATATTTTATGCTTTTAGACTTTTGGTTACTCGACAAAAGGATTTTGTATCTTTTACAGTGCAAAAAAACAAAACAAACAAATCGTTTGGGAATAGATTTTCCTTTTTCAATATTTATATGGATGATCCTAAAAGGATTTCGTAAGGTGTGAACATATTTATTATTTGGTGGCTGGTCAACAGATGATTAAAATAGCTACAAAGTATGACTTAATTACATTTGCTAAACGTAAGATAATCTAATTAATTAGAATCCATACGAAGGACTGCTCAGTTCTTGCGTGAAATTGTAGATTTTGTACCCTAAATGGTGATTTTCACATCTAATCACCATGTGTCCCTCTAAATGGTGATTTTGTGTACACACACATATATATAAGTTAAAGAGGGGGGGGTGACTAAAAATGAAGAATTGATGTTACCAGGAACTGGATAGCGGCGGAGGAGAGGAAGATGAAGAAGGAGAAGAAGAAGGCGTCGGAGAGGAAACCGCCGAGGAGGGCGAGGAGGAAGGCCGTTCCCATGAAATTGGTGACGTCATTCGCCGATCTCGACGGCGACAGGTGCATGTACTCCCTCATGTACATCACCAGATTGCTCGCATTCGCCAGAAACGCCAGATTCTCCAATATCTCCACCACTACACACATTCAAAAAAAAACGAAAATATCATTTTCCATAAAACGAAATATATATTATTATCATTGTTAATCGGATGATCACATGATTCACCGGAGAAAACCCGGGGGGAAGGAGATAAAGGAGGAGGGGTAAATTCGTAATTTTGACACCGACCCAATACGAAGGAGGCGGCGACCATGCCGCCGTGGCGGCCCTTCACGGCAGGCC